AGCTGGCAACTGTCAGAGAGACCAAAAATATCAGATCAGACCTTGAATGTTTACCCCCAAACCCACCATTACCCAGATCAGACCTCGACTGCCCCCACCAAAAGTCCTGTTGGAGCCTCCTCAGCTCTCTGGTAATTTTGTCCTTGAGTAACAATTGAAAAATGGTAAATTCTCCCCAGTTTAGACCTCCTAAGCACACACTGAAATGAATCGAATGAACCAGGTGCTCGGGACACGGACGCACCACGTCCTGCAGCAGGCACAGCCGTGCAGTGGGGTCTACCCCTCCCCAGGCTCCCATCAGCTGCAGCCTGGATGAGTGCAAATAATTAATCCTGCAAATAAATTAGCTCCTCGTTTTGCCCTTAACTGAGCACAGGCACAAATCAGCAGCAGGGTTAAAGACACTTTGAAATGTATCAATTGAGTTTAAAGGAGCAAAAATCGCTTAAGGGGAGTGCTTTCCCATCTCACCCCTTAATAAGTTCCATTTCCTTAATAAATAAACAGCTCTGTCGAGATAATTTTCCATGTTCTTCTGCAGTAGCACTTCTGTAAAGGCCACTGGGGCTGGGGCATGGAGACTCCAACGCCACAAAGGTTTTCTGGACACTGGGTGGCCACTGGCTTGAGTCACTTTTGGGACAGGAGATGGGGATTTTGGTCCCAGGTGGCTTTCAGAGCTGCTGGGCTTCAACTGAGAAGCTCAGGATACCCAGGCTCCCATCAGCTGCAGCCCGGATGAGTGCAAATAATTAATCCTACAAATAAATTAGCTCCTCGTTTTGCCCTTAACTGAGCACAGGCACAAATCAGCAGCAGGGTTAAAGACACTTTGAAATGTATCAATTGAGTTTAAAGGAGCAAAAATCGCTTAAGGGGAGTGCTTTCCCATCTCACCCCTTAATAAGCTCCATTTCCTTAATAAATAAGCAGCTCTGTCGAGATCATTTTCCATGTTCTTCTGCTGTAGCACTTCTATAAAGGCCACTGGGGCTGGGGCATGGGGACTCCAACGCCACAAAGGTTTTCTGGACACTGGGTGGCCACTGGCTTGAGTCACTTTTGGGACAGGAGATGGGGATTTTGGTCCCAGGTGGCTTTCAGAGCTGCTGGGCTTCAACTGAGAAGCTCAGGATACGCAGGGGACCATCCCCACCTCTTCTCCCAGCTTGTTAGTCTGCTTAAGGGAAGTTGT